CCCCCCCCGGTCGGCACTAAATAAGACGGAAGACACACAAAAACAGTACACAGCCCTTCCTCTCCCCGTCGCGAGGCGTGAGGGTAGCCGCCGACGCGTCCATAACTTGGAGCCCTGCGCCGCCCGTCCGCGAGGGACCCGGTGCGGCCAGGCCAGCCCGGCCACGCCGCCACGCCACGCCCCGCAGGCCGGGGACCTGGACCAGCCGGACCAGACCGCCTAGCGGGAAATGCAGTATGAATGCGCGATGCTTTCGCGCGCTCTCGACCTGAATAATGCGTTTCCGTTGCACACAGTAGTATGCGCGAGTCCGCTCTAAAAGTTGTAATGATGCCTCCGCGGTGTGGGGCAGAGCCCGTTGTTGCACCAGAAGGGCGTGCTATGGCGCGGGCCGCGGGTGGCTGGGCGGGTTCACCCGGAGCACTCTTTGGGTAGGCTGCACCGAACGCACGAGTGCGGGCGGGTTGCCTACGCGCACTCGCACGGGGCTCCCACACAGGCAGCGCCTCGGGGCCGGGCTCGCACGATCGGTGAGCCACATCGGCGGCGGCGGCGTCTTGAATCTCCCCAGGATCTCCCTGAGCCGCGGGTCTCTGCCTCTCGTCTCGACGCATACTGGCGAGGGGAAGTAAAGGTCGAGGTAAAGGTGGAAACAGGAGCAGCGAGAGAACACCGCGGCGACCGACCTATCCCCGCTGATAGGCCGAAAAATAACCGCAGCAGCTGCTCGCTATCGAAACGGAGTACAGGCGGGAAGTCGTAAGGTTCGTTGAGACGGGAAGCCGTGGTGGTGGCGGTTTCCCCCCAGGCAACGGAGAGCCGATGGCGACCGCTTTCGCAGCCCGGCGCGGCGCGGCGGCCGCGGGGTGCCGCTGAGCTGCGGCCGCGTCCACCGGGGAAAGGCTCTCCGACCCGTCACTAGCGGGGGGCGGCGGCGGCGGCCGGGGTCCTGGCGGTCCTGCGCCGGACGTGGCTAATTCCCCGCCGGATCCAAGACGACCCCGCGCACCTCGTCGCGTCCTCGGCCCACCCGGCGGCAGGCAGGGGGGTTCAAGAGATTGCGGTGGTGAAATCGCAGCGGCTCAAACGGCGACGCGCGCTCGGCGCTGCGGGTGCGATCGTAACTCGGGCGAAGAAGACGCCCCAGGGGCGGGCGGGGCGGGGCGGGCGGTCGTGCGCCGGAGAGCGGGGCGGCGGTGCGGTATCGTGTCGCGAGGCAGGACTACTCTGTGACGCCACCTCCGCGGCGACGGCCCCGCGTCGGCGGTGACGTGGCCAGGGCCGGCGGGGAGGAAAGGGGGAGGGGGCGTTCGACCGGTTCGGGCGAAAGCCCGCGCGAGCCGTCCGGCAGGCTGTGTGAGCAGAGTACTTCCTAACCAGAAGGACAACCAGGAAACATTTACATACTTTCATTTTGGGGTAAATTCAAAGAAAAACTGTTGTCGACGAAACTAAATCCCGTTTTCTGGGTGAAGACGCGCGGAGAATTTAAAGGGTGTCTAAGTATCCCGAGTAGAGTAGTGCCTCCCTGCCTACCTGGGGGCAGCAGTGCCGGAGGCAGCTCACAGTGCCAGCGCTGGCCCCACTCCGCTCCACACTAATCAGGTTTGTATTCGCAGGCGCTAAATTAATTATGAAATGCATAGCGCGCCGCTGGCCAGGCCTCCGCGCGGCCTCCCCGCCGCGCGCGCGCTACTACATAGCGGGTAGTGCGGGTACCCGGGTACCCGGCTCGGCTCGGCCCGGCCCGGGCTCGGCCGGCGCGAGGGAAGGGAAGGGCAGGCGGGCAGGGGGGCTGCACTTCACAGCTGAGCGCAGGCGCGCGCAGGAGCCTCACAGGAGCGCAGGCCGTCTGCGGCAGCGACCCCGGTACCACCGTCCCCGCAGTGCACAACACCGGGTGACATCGGCGCGTGCTCGCGTGTGTGATTGTGAGTGTGTGATTGTGAGTGTGTGTGTGTCTCATCAAGTTGGACAGCGCCCGTCTGTCATTCTCCGCCGCTGGTCCGCGCACGACGTATGACGGGCGGTCGCTCTTATCAGAGGCGACGCCACTTCACGACCGGTAGCATGCAGGCCCCTCTTGCCTAGGCCCGGGTGCCACCCCGCTGCTCACCGGCGCCTCATCGCCCTGCTGCTCACCGGCGAAGCCCCCGTGGCCCCCACAGTGAGTCCCTAACTCTTAGCTGTACCAGTGCTTTCTCATTATTGCCTCACGGCTGCTCACCGCCCGGGCCGCGGTGCGATTGCACTTGCGATTGGCTCGATGCAGTCCTAGGCTGCTCCTGCTGCAGCCGCCTGCAGTGCGCCGCCGGCCCGGGTTGTGTTCTCGTGAGAAACGATCAGTACAGCTAGACAAAAGCCAGCGCGGCCCCCGGCCGGCTCCCGTTGGATAACCAGGATAACCTACCTCCCCCCGCGGCCGCCGGCCCGCGCGCCTGGAACGCCGCGGGCCTTGGGGAAGGACACCGCTCCGCAGCTGGGGCTCATCCTGCCCATCCTGCCCGCCCATCCTGCTGACTGAGCCGTCTTCTGGCGTTGCCGGCGGCGCGCAGGACCGGCGCAGGACCGGCGCAGGACATAACGATCGCGTCTCACACAACAACAACTATCTCGAGAAAGTTGTCGTGACCTTCTTCCTTTCCTTTTCTCCCGGACCGCCCCCCTCCCCCTCCCCGGTCCAGCTCATCCACGCGTCCCGGTGACGTGATTTACATGGGCTGTGATGTCGGGGGAGAGGGGGAGGGGGCCCTCCAGCAGCGGAACGGGGCGGCGGGGGCCGCGGGAGCTGCTGCCGGGACATCCGAAGGGAGCGGTGACGACGAGAGAGGCTGGCAATTCGCACAATCACTGGTACTAAGAGGCGGGGAAATGACGTGGAACCGATGAGGCCCGCGGCGGAGTTGCGGGCGCTAATGGTGACCGCGTCCTCCGCGCAGGGCAGGAGCGTGTCAGCACAGTGTTTTCTTTTTTCGCTCTCTTGGTGTCGTTCTCAAACTCTACCGTGACGACGCGATCCCCACCTTATTGTTCTACCGCATCACCACCGCCGCTTCCGCGCTAGTTCCGCGATACGAATACAGCAGCCACCGCATCCTTCCTCACGCCCCACGAGCAGGTGTGGTCTGCAGGCAGGACCGTCCTGCAGCCTGCAGCTGAGGTCGGCAGTCCTGCTGCAGATCCCTGGCTGCTGAACGCGCGAGCACCTGAGCGCCCCCCAAGGGCGCGCAGCCTTGCCTGCAGCCTCGTCGTGCTCATCCTGTTAGCCGGGCTTCCTGTTGGCAGCCGTGGCCATTAGTTTGACCTGGCCGTCCTGGCCCCGCTGCCAGTGCGTGCGCTGTTTGCAGTGCAATGCAGGTAGGCAGGTGAGGCGATGCAGGCGGGCCCGACCGCCGTCATGGACTGGCTCTTTAAACTGGGACAAGGGAGGGGCTGGGCCTAGGGACTTCCCCCGGTCGTGCGGGCGGGCAGGCAGGCGCGGGTCGAGGGACTGTAGGGGCGGGCGGGTGGGCGGGGTTGCGCAGTACGATTTCCAGGATTGATTTTAGGGTAAACGCACAATAATTCACGGGCCCCTTGAATTTTTTGGAGGTACATCTTTCATAACTAGACAGGCTTAAGAAGACCGGCTTGAATGATTCGCCTGAAGGCTATCTTTATTGGGCGACCAGAGTCCCGATCGCGGAATGATTGAGTGACGATAACGGCCTGCTTGAGCGAATCCTCAGTTGAACGTGTACGTCAAAAGGGCGAAGGTGCGCGCCCTTAGAGCGGGCACAAGCCTGCCCCCTCGCCCCCCCTCCCCCTTTCCTCCCTCTGTCTCTATCACACCCACGGGTTCCTGACCCGCTGCTCTCACTCTGCTGACGTGTGTGCGTTTAGGCCCGGGCCGCTCGGTGCTGCCATCTGGCGGCGCGCAGGCCAAGTCTCTGTAGACGTAGTGCTCCCTGCTGGACGGTCCTGAAGTGACAGCAAGAGGTGTCAAAATACATCCTGGCCCTTCCTGTGTAAGTGTTTTTTGTTGTGACACGTCAGGGATGCGATCCTGCGGGGAATTTCTTGGCAGCTAAAGTCCTAGCTCGGCTCTCCAACGGCCTTTCAATGCGAGTGGTAACCCCTTTGCTGGCCGTGTAGGCCCTGTGCTTTTCACATGAAGAGTTTGCCAAGTCGTGTCGAGGTTATTGGCCGAGGTGTTCTCACGTAGGGAGCCGGTAATAATGTCCTGCTCTCCGCGCGGAGCTCCGTGATTCTCTCTATCAACCAATAACGCCCTCCGCGAAAAATGAAATTAACAAGCGTGCAGTCTGTAGTGTTTGGGCCAGTCCTGGGCTCTAGATGATGGGGTTGTGTACGTACGTTTGTTCATGAGTGTGTGTGTGTGTGTGTATGTGTGTGTGTTCATCATCGAAAAAATATTTGTTTCTATAATTTTTTGCTGCCGGATGAAACATTGGAATTTGTTTTCAGTCAGTCAGACTCTTCGTATTCCACCAGCAAGTACTGGTTTCCCCTTTGATGAATGTACCCCTTATTGAAATGTCAGCCTAATGCCTTAAGATTTCTAAAATTTATATATCACTTCTTTACTTAGTTCCTCCAGATATAAAGAGCTTTCATCTGCCCAACCCCTAAATTACTAATTTCTTACTTTGTGTTTTTCAGGATGGGCAACATATCAATGGGCCTGAGAGGTCACCAGACTTAAAGATGAGAAGAACCTGAAGCATATCAAGTTGTAGAACTTATGAAGATAGATGTTTTTGGAAGAGCTGTGGTGTATTTTGTGTGATCAATGACATTGTGCATATCAGTTGTAGGCTAATAGCTACCTGCTATCGAAACCATGTTCCGAACAAAAGTACGAATTCACACATGCAAAATTATATTAATCACCTCTTTGGCATGGATTCTCGTGGATGTAGCCATATTAGCATTTTATTCAGACTGCTTAGGCGGTGGCAGTTGGAAATGTAAAGAGAATGATGAAAATTCAGGTGTAGGATCTGCAGCAGCTTTGCATTCAGATAGTGGAGCTATTTCAAGCAACAGCAAAGGTCGAGGAATCTTGTATGAACAATTACATGACAGAGGGAAGGCTGAAGAGGACAAGACATACAAACCAACTCAGTTGAGAAGATGGCGGCCTGTTCCACCAGTCCCTGCAAATCGGGGTATGCCAGGCGAAAATGGGAAAGCAGTCACTATTCCACCTGAAAAGGAGGCTCTCATGAAAGAAAAATTCAAGTTGAATCAATTTAATTTACTTGCTAGTGATATGATATCATTCAATCGCTCACTGACTGACGTCAGATTAGAAGGGTAAGTTTTATTTCCTCCAAAGTGCATATTGCTGTTTTCCTTATCAGTAAATGTAATAAATCTAGTCACTTTTCATCCTAGATGCAAGAGTAAAATTTATCCAAAACTTCTTCCAAGCACCTCTATAGTAATTGTCTTTCACAATGAGGCATGGTCTACTCTGTTAAGAACAGTGTGGTCAGTTATTAATCGTAGTCCTAGACCATTGCTAAAAGAAGTTATCCTTGTAGATGATGCAAGTGAAAGAGGTAAGTGTTCCTCCTATTTTTCTTCATTTCCTCCTTTTTCCCTTCTTTTTCCTTTTTTTATGGTACTTTTGGTGTTTTTTAATTGTCCTCTTTATCTAAATTTTTCTTCCTGCAGAACACCTAGGAAGACAGTTAGAGGATTATGTTGCCAAACTTCCTGTTCCTGTACATGTGTTCCGCACTGAAAAACGTTCAGGTTTGATTCGAGCAAGGTTGTTAGGTGCAAAGCATGTCAAGGGAGAAGTAATCACTTTCCTGGATGCACATTGTGAGTGCACAGAAGGGTGGCTGGAACCCTTACTTGCCCGCATCGCTGAAGATAGGTATGAGTCAAGTGCAGGAAAAAAATAATATTTTTAAGTATCTGTTTCAAAATTGTTTAATTTTCAGGACAACCGTGGCATGCCCCATCATTGATGTGATAGCTGATGACACCTTTGAATACATCAGTGCATCAGACATGACCTGGGGTGGCTTCAACTGGAAATTAAACTTCAGATGGTATGAAACTACTCAAACCTTCTCTATATTTTGTTTCTATTTCATAGCACCAATGTAACTTTCATTGTTGTTTTTGATTAGGTATCGCGTCCCTCAGAGAGAAATGGAACGGCGTGGTAATGACCGCACAGCACCACTTCGTACTCCTACCATGGCAGGAGGTCTTTTTTCAATTGATAAAGATTACTTCTACCACTTGGGATCGTATGATGAAGGAATGGACATTTGGGGAGGAGAAAATCTTGAAATGTCATTCAGGGTAAGTTGATTTATTTAAGATATAGTGTCCGTCATAATTTAATTTTCATTTCAGTAAGTTAACCATTTTTTGTTGATCTAGCTTCTGAAATGGCATAGCTAGGTAGTTTATGTAGCATAAATGTCTTTACATTACATGTACACGAGTTTTAGTCATAAGATTCTCTCATATACTTCTGAAGAACCTTTGTGTGGTTCCTGTTTATATTCTGACTTAACATACTTTGATTTTTTAAACTAGTCTCCCATACAACAGTGAGCGTGAGCTTTTGAATTTATAGAATAGTAATAGATATAACTACCAGCAAGCAGCTATGTCAAATGAATAGTTCATTTCAGGTGTGGCAGTGTGGTGGTATTTTGGAGATTATTCCTTGTTCACATGTGGGCCATGTGTTTCGTGACAAGTCTCCCTACACTTTTCCGGGTGGTGTATCCAAAATCGTCTTGCACAATGCAGCGAGAGTTGCTGAAGTGTGGATGGATGAGTGGCGAGACTTTTATTACGCAATGAATCCAGGTAGACCAGGGGTTTCATATTCCTATTCCGTGTATTGCTTTCTGGTCTTGGTGGTGTTTGACAGCCTGTAACTTCATTACTAACATTATTAACTAACAAATTTCTATCTCTCTCTCAGGTGTTCATTAATGTTGTCTACTGTTGCTTGTTTGTTTGATGGGCTTTGTGTTCTATCCTGGAGTCTCTTGTTAGTGTGGTTTCAAAGTGGTCAATCTTTTCTTTATTATAATGGTGGTTTCTGTTAATTTTTCTCAAGCTGATATTATTTTGGTGTAGCTTCCCAGCTTTTTAGTATGTTGGGTGCTCTTATTAATTGACTTTTTTATATGATTTTGATATTCTCTTGCCCCTGACCCCTGATTTTACTTAAACCTTCACAATCAATTTGGATCGTTTTTATCCTAATACCAATATTTCAAAGCTTAAATGCATGAATATATAGGCTCTGAAAGTACCTCATGATCATTTGTTGATCTCACAGAAAGTTCAGCTCATCTTCAAATCCCTAATCCCTCTCTTATGTAATCAGGAAAGAAAATGCAAAATGTTTCTGTGCCAGATGGGTTGTGACTGGATATTAATCTGCATGTGCTTTATTTGGTGCGTGGTGTGTGGTGCTTAGGTTTGGATGTGTGGAGGACAAGTGGAAATAGCAACATGCTCTCATGTTGGACATGTTTTTCGCAAGTCAACTCCCTACACCTTCCCTGGTGGCACATCAAAAATTGTGAACCATAACAATGCTCGGCTGGCAGAGGTGTGGCTGGACGAATGGAAAGAGTTTTACTACAGCATTAACCCAGGTTAGATGCACCTGTAGTGAGTCAAAACAGTAAATCTAATCTTTCTATTTCAAATTATGATGACAATCAATTTTTATTATACGGGAGTCATTTAAACATGCATGCTTAACCAATAATTTTTTACAAAAGAACTATTATTTAACTACTTGCTAACCTATAACAATGTACTTGTATCAATCTCTAATATGCTCTTCATAGACGGCTGCTTAACTTGGTTGCTTGTCTAGCTTTGTTTGTGGGGGATTTCATCTGCTTTGATTACTGTTGAACAATCTTTCACAAAATAAGAAACCACCCCAATTCAATTTTAACTTTTGTTGTAATTTTTATAAATTAGTAACTCCCCCTCCCTCTCTTCTTTTTGATTCTTTTCTTTACATTAATCTGAGCTTTTTTCCAATCTATTATATTTAACTTTTCCACTAATTTTAGGTGCTCGCAGTGTTGATGTTGGAGATGTGACTCAAAGAAAATCATTGCGTCACAAGTTAAAATGTAAGAGTTTCCGTTGGTATCTAGAGAATGTGTATCCAGAATCACAGATGCCTCTTGATTACTATCACCTTGGAGAGGTCAGTACTATTTGTCTTGAGTCTATCACATTAAATGGTTCAATGTAAATTTTTCATGTTTATTGCTATGTTTAGGTTCGTAACATGGAAACTCAAAACTGTTTGGACACAATGGGTCACAAAAGTGGGGAAAATTTGGGCGTTAGCTACTGCCATGGACTCGGTGGTAATCAGGTATAACACAACTTTGAGAGTTTAAGCTTGATTTTTGCATCAAAGATTGTTATTACTGGTATTGTTTTTTGAATTATTTTATTTTCTAAAACTGGCCATTATATTGCTTTCATATAGGTATTTGCCTACACTCGGCGGCAACAAATTATGTCTGATGACAACTGTCTTGATGCCACAAGTCCTGAGGGGCCTGTAAAACTTGTTCGGTGTCATGGTATGGGTGGAAACCAACTATGGGTTTATGATAAAAATGTATGTACAGCTGGGATCTACCTATCTAACTACAGTCAAAACTCGTTAGTACGACCCCCGGATACAACGATTTCCCCGTTATAACGATTTTTTCCGCCGTCCCATGGCATTAGTTTTCTTGTTAATGCTATCGGATACAACGATTTCCCCGTTATAACGTTTTTGGGCCGCGGTCCCAGTGGGGTCGCACTAACGGAAATTGACTGTATATATCTCACTAAGTCTTAACTATACCCTGCTATATTTTTGTTTCTGTTTGCAGGCTCAAACAATAAAACATGTGAACACAGGGCAGTGTTTAACCAAGCCAGATGTCCGGGACACATCAATTCCTCTCTTGAGACCCTGTGATGGTAGCATAGGACAGATGTGGGTCATGAATAGTAAATTCAAATGGCAAGCAAATTCAGTGTAGCAATGTTGTTTAAAAACCGTGCATGAAATGTTGTTGATGTCATCAAGCTTAATGCTTGTCTTTTGTTTTCATGATTAGTATTGAACTAGAAATAAGTATTATTTCAGTTATTTCATTCCATACTCAACATTGTTGCATTTCTGAATACTGCTGCTCTCAAATACACAATATAAAAACTCAGACATCATTTTGCAAGAAATTGTGCAACTCAGGCAATATTAGTTATTTTCAGTGCCTTTCCTTGTGTCTGACGGATGATTTGCTTTCTTTTAGTTTAACACCACTTATCTTTTAATGCTTTGGTTGGTGTAAAGCAAGTCTTTCAACATTTGTCATACAGATGCTAGTCTTCTCACTGACATTTTCTTCTTGCTTGAAACATATCTTTATTGGTGCCTCTTTTGATTTTGCTATTACACTAGTATGTATTAAAGTAGCTAAGTGTTCTGTGTTCTAATAGAGGATCATACTCTGTAGACTGTCTTTCAAACTTTTACATATTTAATTCATATCATGGCTTTTATATTATTAGAATTTTGAAATGTTACTGTATAAAATCCTTATCAGTGTTTAAATCGCAAAATTTTATGATGAAGTTTTTATGTTTCTGTTGGCTGTTTGTACGCTTGTTGATGGCATAATTTAAAATGTTTTGTAGTCAGGCACTCACATGTAAGACATTCATTTACTTCTACAAATATAGTTAGTGTAAATTATTAACTTGTATAATGACTTAAATTAATCGTTATCATTAGTATCAATAATATGATGGTGCCTGTACTTTTGTACACATTCTTAGTTCATTGTGGATATGTACAGCAAACGAATTTTAGAGTGATAAATTTTGTACAGTTTGTGTAAGTTCTTGGTGTCTAGTGAAGGTAATGTGTAGGCAATAGACTTTAAAATGTTTTTTTCTTGTTCAATCGACAATACCTCAATAACTACTAAAAACTATTCCCGAGACACTAATTATTTGAAATTCCACTTTTTATAACATGTGTGTGTAAGAAAAATTACTGTGTATTTGTGAGGTGTTTTTTTTCTCACAATGACATTTCTGTATTTATGAATAATGTCTAAATTTTCTATGAAGAATATCTGTGATCATTGTTGAATTCATTAGCCTTAATCATCTACACTTTCCTTGGTTTATCTTATCCCTTATGTTCTCTCAATTTTTATCTAATGCATTTTAAGTTTTAAAACTGATCTTGCCGCTATATTGATCCTTCTGTTACTGTTTTCCTCCAACAGAACCACCCTGTGAAACTCATATCTGATTTCACCTAAGGACCTGAAAGTGGAAAGTTATCTCTCATAACAATGTAATGTACTTTAATGTTGTATGTAACTTTCTTTTCTTCCTACTCTCTTTAGGCTTAAAAAAATGAATTGTACTGATGCTGTGTATGTGCTTACATTTTGTATGTGTTTTGTCCGAAATGTTAAATATTCATGCTCTCCCAAGTATTTTCTTTTAAATTTAAACATATTGTTTTAGTCTTCTTTAAGGTGTTTTTTTTTATCAGGTGTTACTGTAGACCTAATATTTCGCTGTTGTCTATCACTGAACAAATATGTTTAACTTGGATGTTGCGGAGAATGTAACAAAATATTTTGCAAGGGACTCCTTGGTTCTCGACATAGGTAAATATCAGTCACCATTTGTTAAGGAAAAGAGTGATAGGATTGAACACTAATTGCATCTACCGATTTTTATTCTTGGATATTTTACTGTTCTTTCTTTTAACCCCGCCCTCCTATTGTCTATCCCTTCTTTTTATTATGTCAAAGGAAATTTTTATTGGGCATGCCTATCTTAATATTTCTTTCACTCACTGCTCAGCTATTGAAACATTTCCAAAATCCGTTGAACACTAATCAAATCATTAACAGGATCATACTTCATCATCACGAAATTTTTGTGTATTAGGTAAAAGGTAGCTTAGTTCTGTAATATTAGAGTTATTATTTGACCTGTTCTACTCATCTGTTATGTAAGAGTTCAAATGTGGTTTTACGGTGTTGTGAAAAATATGATTCTGAGTAAAGTGTGATTGGAATTGGACTTTCACTCATTATGGGGTAAGGAGTGATGTACATGATCATCATCTAACTTGTTTCTTCCATTTTTTTGTGTAAGTGTTTTGTAAGAAGATAAGTTTATTTTTGATGCCACTTGTTATTCTATTTTATTATTTTTAATTTAGTTATGACACCGATCCTGCCATGTAGTGCTGTTAAGAAACCTGTGCATTTATTAGATTTTAAGTTTCTTGTTGTATCTGTGGTCAGAAGTGACACTAGATAGACTTCTGCTGAAACTCTCAAGTGACTCATACCACTGTCATTTATTCTTTGAAGACATGTCGGATGTCTAAAGGACTGAAGATTTTGGTGTAAGTTACTTAAGTCATTTAAGTATGCAACTGGTGCATCTGCCTTTGCATCACTGTTGGCAAAATTCCACAGCTGCTAATTGCTTTGTGTCACTGTTTTGTCATATTCTGCATATTTTGACCACTTTCCATTGGGAATATCTCTAATTTTGTTTGCATGATTTACGTTGGCTTGAAAGCGGTGGTAGTGTAGCATTCTTTTAAGACTACAATGTATTGGCATCATGTGATTTCTGTGGTTGTTAAAATTATGTTGTTTTTTTCCTGACCAAAACGCTCACAATTGTACAGAGCAAATGGACCAAGGTGTTAGATAGCTTGGTGTAGTGATTTCTCTTATTTTGTTTTTAATTATGTTAAGGTTTTGGCACCAAGCTACAACCATCCTGTTTCTTCTAAAATATTGTTGTCTTAACAGTACTCTGGTCTTAACATAGATTCTTCTCAATTTCTATGTCAGAATGTCATTGGACTGAATGCTTGACTGGTGTACTACATGTGACATTTTAGTCCAAATAAAATGGCAGATTTTTGATTCTTGCCTGGGTTTAAAAATTACAATGAAAACTGTGGTCAATGACTTAAATTATTGTGCATTTAGTGCATGCTAATAAGATAAAAACTATGTATGTTGTTCATTTTGTTAAATTAAAGAGGCAATATCAAATTCAGAACCTGCTTTAATTACTTTTTTGTTCAAACCTCCAAGGAGAGTTAAATTCATAATAAAAAAAAATAATTTCATAAAAAAGAAATAATAACTAGGTATGTATCACAATGTGTTAAAATATTTTTCAGGCATCAATCTGCCTAGCTTTAAGGGCTGTAAATGTATCAGCTGAAATGTCATTTAGTCCCACAACAATTGGAATATCTTGATTCTGACCCATATCCACATCCAACAGACAATTGAGATTTACTAAGCGTTCCTGAGCTTTCATCAGTTTCTGTGGGGGAAAAGATAAATGAAATTGTTTAACAGTGCATAAATTAAGTAACTGTAAGATTATGAACTGTGAAATTCATACATTTCTGACAAATTCCTTTTTTTCCGGTTGTGCTGCCATTTGCTTTTTCATCTCAGTCATTGCCTTAGCACTCATTCCAATTAGTTCTTCTAACACCTAAAAGAGACTGTGATGATTAATACTCTCACATTCAGTTAATACCAGTTACAAAATACCTCACCTTTGGTGCAAACTTGACATCTAAATTTGCAGAACCATCAGTTATCTTTGCGGATAGTTTCCATTCTCCATCCTCTATAGAAAGCTTGTTGATAACACTTAACACAGCTGCTTTCACACAGTAGGTCCTGGAGCAGCTTTTATTCTCTTGGAGAATTCGAGATATATAAACAAATGGGCGAGGAGGTACTGCAACAGGACCTGAATGATTGTCAGCACTGTTTGTCTCAGTATCATCTCCCAAATCAAGCAAATCGTCGTCTATGAGATAGTTGAGATCAGTTGTTGATGAAACTTCCTGTGATGATGAAGAAGACTCTTTCCTTCGTTTTGTGAAGAGAGGTTTTCTAAGAGAATCTTCTGAGAGAGCACTTGATGCTGGTCTCTTGAATGTAGAAATCTCCTCTGTTAAACGATCCACCTTGGATAATGGTTTATCTATTGAAGAGTTTTGTATCCTTGAGGTTGGTGCAGTGGCCGTGGAGTTCACAGTTAAGTTAGCCTCAGCTTGCAACAACATGGCTTCTTCATCTGAACCCATTTCAAATTCTGTATCAAATTCATTATTTAAAGTATCAGATTTTTTGGGAACATTTGTAGAATTATGTGAGCTAGATGTTGAAGGCCTGGTTTCAAACTCCATTTCCGTTTCCCAATCAGCACCATTTAGGGGAATATTTAAAAAATCTTCATCACTACCACAGAATTCTATCGGCTAGATGAAAAAAGAACATAATATATAAGATGAATTAATATACTTTCATGGCCCAAGACATAACTTTGAAACGAGGTTTCAAAATCTAGTCACTTACTTGATTCTGTTGTGAATTGGTGTGGACTAAATTAGCAGTTTGTGTTGGATTGGACCATGCCAACGTTGGTTGGACAAGCCTTTTGGTACGCTCTCCCTGACCTGCAGGATTGGTAGTCTGGTTAGCTTGTCTTCCTTGATTAATGTTGTTACATTGTCGTTGAGGAGAAGGAGGTCTTCTTGTAGCTTGCTGGATTTCTGCCTGCACTGGAGGCTGAGGATTTACTTGCGGAATAACTGGCAATTCATTGTTTACTGCAGTTAAATTGTAAGGGTCTGGGTTTTCTGGTAGTTGTCTGGAAGTAATTCAACCGAAGAAGGGTAAGTGGAAATGATTAATTAGAATACATTATAGGGTTATCTTTTATCAGACTTACAACTTTCTGGCAAGAACATTTTCATATGCATTAGTAATAACCAAGAATTCAACTTCACCTCCAAGAATTGTGAGATGTGTTTCTTCAAGCATAAGAATTCCTCTCCGACACAAAATAGGACCAATTAATAATAGCTGGAAAAGGGAAAAATTTCCTTTTAAAATATCCCTCTACGAACTTGTTAAACAGGTTTGATTACAACCTCTTACCTTGGTGCCAGGAATTATATCAGGTTTCAGCTTCAAAATAGGTTTATATTCGATTGCTTTGATGGTTTGTATGCCATCACAAAGAGTTAATTGTAACATGCGATTAGATTTAGGCTCCCAAGCTTGCTGGAATTCTCTGCCAACTTCATCAACCTGTAAATTTCCTACATCTTCCTTTCGAACTTTCTGCATTTGACTGTATGCTGAATGACCGATGTCAGTAACTAACTCGACCTGCAGCAAAGAATATTTTAAGCAAAGATTATTCAGGCTCCTTATCAAAGAATTAAAATGATTGTGCATTACCTGACAAGCCATTTTCCCCTGCAAAGTGGTTTTCACGATGCCTTGTAAATTTGGTGGAAGTGAAGCAATTCCAAAATCCCGCAAATCAGCCAGGAGCCATTGATCATACACAAAGGCTTCCAAATCTTTCAATGAATACTTCAAAAGATAGATACAAAAACATGGGTCATGTGTAAGAATTCACAAAAAAGTTAGATTCTTAAGTTGTGAAGTGAAGTGATTAAAAGTACCTGATTATTTTCAGAGCGAAAGAAATTAATACAATCAGAGAGCCAATCTTGACTGACATGACAACCACGATTTCGCAAAGAAGTTAGAGTCACTTCAACTTCTCTATTTATTCCAGCCATTTCTACCAAAAGTTGGAGTAACCTCAACTTTTGATACTGATGAATATTTCATTCTGATTACGTTGTAAAAGTACCATTGAATGTATAATGTATTTGCGTTTCAAAAAATTGATAAAAAGAGCTCCAATAACAAATTTATGCCTCATAATAGAATCCTGAAAATAATTACGGCTTAAATTGACACTCTTCCGCTTTCATCTAACACAAAACATAACACCTTCTGCACAATTCATGCCATGTCAACTTTCGCGCGCATACATTCGATTCTTGTTCTTTACGTCCTCTTGGAGTAGGCGGGTGTAAGACCTCATTCATTTTTATTTCCAACCCCTCCCCACTACTATCCCCTTCCCACTCCTCCTCCCCCTCCCTCTTCTCCCTCGGCACAGTGGCACAGTGGTTCTGAGTTTGCCCACCCCTTGAGAAAGGGCGGCCCTGGATACGAAGCTTTTGAGTGAGTGAGCCCCTGTGGGCCCTCCCTAGCCCTCGATGTATGGTTTATCTCCGAGCGTACTTCTCGCACGGGGCTGGGAGTACGCTCGTTTTGTTCCTTGAACTGCACCATTACCACAGCTGTTCACTTTTTGGACATATAATTCCGTTAAATTTGTTAAAAGTTTAGTTAAATGCGCTGCCCCATGGGGTACGCGGATTTCGGGCCTTGCGATTAGGTTCCCGAACGTTCCGAGCGTCTTTCTGTTCTTTTTCCTCCGCGGGGGGAGGTGGTGCGGGGTAGGGGGAAGAGGAGCAATAAAAGGCCGGTCTTTTGATTTTAAGCTAAAAATGGAGTGAGCGGATCTTTACAAGTGAGATTGACCCTTAAAACACCAGCGCCTGTCAGTAAAGACTATCCTGATTGCTGCCGTCCAAGTTTTTAGGGTTATGTTGCCACATCCCCCCCACCCCGCACCGCCTCGTCCCGCGGAGGAAAAAGAACAGAAAGACGCTCGGAACGCTCGAGAACTGTTTGCGGGGGCGCAGTCCGACCCGCGTACCCCATGGGGCAGCGCATTTAACTAAACTTTTAACAAATTTAACGGAATTATATGTCCAAAAAGTGAACAGTTGCGGTAATGGTGCAGTTTAAGGAGCAAAACGAATGCACTCCCAGCCCCGTGCGAGAAGTACGCTCTGAGATAAATCATATATCGTGGGCTAGGGAGGGCCCACAGGGGCTCACTCACTCAAAAGCTTCGTATCCAGGGCGGCCCTTTCTCAAGCCCACCCACTTCCACGACTTCTCTGTGTTCTGTTCTGAGTGGAGTTTCAGCTGGGCTCGGCTAACCAAACCCAAATTTAGGTTCTGGTATCGCTGGCTGGGACTCGAGTCTGACGTCCACACGCTCGACGGGCGGCAAGGGAGGCACGGTCGGTGTTTGTGTGTGTGGTTCTCTCAGATCGGCTCAGGCGGCAAACCGGACAACATGTTCCAGTTAAAGAAGATTGCCACGGCGCCCCAAAAGATCGATTTGAGAGCAGTGTTGAAGGTTATCCCGGCCGCCGTTCAGTCTCAACCTGCAAGAGGGTATGCCCACGAAATCCCAGCGAAACTTAAAGATGTGCCGACTGCGGAAAACCCTCGCTTTTTCGACATGGTGGAGTACTTCTTCCACCGTGCGTGCCAGATCGCCGAAGACAAGCTGGTCGAAGACATGAAGGGGAAGATGTCAATTGAGGATAAGAGGAAGAAAGTGAGGGGTATCTTGATGGGGATGCAACCCTGCGACCACATCATTGAAATCGCGTTCCCTGTTCGCCGTGACACTGGCGACTATGAAATGATCACCGGTTACCGAGCTCAGCACTCAACCCACAGAACTCCCTGCAAGGGTGGTAAGTAAAAGTCATGTTTTCATATTTTTACCACCCTCATCCTTCCTTAGATTTGCTTCCACAATGTTGACAGTGTCCTCATAGTTTTGAACTGTTATTATGTTGCTTAATAGTCAAAATCATTAAAAAATATAATGTGCCTATTTCCTTTAAGTGCTTAACGTGTACTCATACCGTATATATTGTCTTCGTCATTTTGCTGGTCGTTGTAACTTTTCTTTTTATCTTACTATCCGAAAAGTTTCGGTAAGATCCTTACTGAATTAAAAGTATTTAAGCGTGGTGGCAGTTGTCAGAAATAATAACTTTTACACAAAATTAACCATTAAACATTTTGGTAAAATATTGTAAATGTTATATTTTGTGGGGACAGTTAAGAATCACTGTCGCCACCCCTCTTCCAAGGGGTGCTTGTGCTTGTCTCTTCATGTTAAAGTCTGGAAAAGCTTTTTTTGATTGCTGTCTGCTATATGCATTTCTATTTATCATCACCCCTATTGAGAACTTGACACCCTTTAGAAGTTCTTGCAATTACAGTACTGAAACTTGGGACAGTCCTGACAACCAATTTATCTAGTCTAGCTGTTGTTTACTGTCGCTACGCCCTGCCGCCTCGCCGGGTGCGTCCGGGGCGGGCAAGTCAGGCAAGTCGAGCCGACACTCTAGGTGACGTCATCGGCCTCCTCACCTTGGCGGTCGCTGGGGCCGGCGGTGTATGCCGGCTGGCTGACTCGGTTCGCTACAGCACTAGTGGCGACCGTACCGGCAGTCTGTCGCGCGTAGGAATAATAATAAAAAGAAAGCAGTGGGATTGTGTACAGCCCGACCCGACGCACTGCTGCTGTGCGGACGTGCGCGCTGCCACGAGCACCGCTCCTCACACGCCGCTGACACTTGCGCCCCAGCTCACGCGGAGTTACGCCCCAGCGAGTTACGCCCCAGCTCACGCGGAGTTACGCCCCAGCTCACGCGGAGTTACGACCCAGCTCACGCGGAGTTACCCCGTAGCTCACCCTTCTATCGTGGAGCTCTGCTCCTCTGGCCCTCCTCTCACGTGTAGTTACGAGTTCTGTACACGCTGCAGGACCAACATATATGCACGGTACGCCGGTTTTCTGATTGACTGTCAAGATGCCCACGCCCCCTCGCACCAACCAGTAGTTGTCTTCCCGGCAAACCCGTATACGTGACGACGACGACGACGACGTCGTCGTCGTCGTCGAAGCACGCGCTCCTGCCTGCGTCACTGGACCTGAGCTTCGGCGGCGTGTCGCGGATCGTCGTACAAAAGATTTCCGTTCTTACGATTATTGCCTGACCGAAATCGAGCGCTCCTTTCCTTTTTCTGCCACTAATCGAAAGAGTCGCCTAGCAGCAGGCGCTGGACAACCTTGGGCGCACGCTCGCTGCTCCAGCGCGTCCACCACGTGGCCCGCGACGCGACACGCCGACCGAATAAATTGAATGGGAACCGGTTAGAATCGGTCTACGTTGAATCGAGCGGAGCGTGGCGTGGCGTGGCGAGGCGAGCGCGATTGCTGAAGCTGCGGGAGATGGGCCGCCGCCGCTGCTCAAGGACTCTCTGCTCCAGGGGGGGGCGCCGTGCCCGCGCCGGCCGGCTACTGGAGACGTGGGCGCCTGCGTACCCGAGGGTAGGCAATGTGCACGGGGCGCGGCACGGCGGCGCGACGGGACTGCCTACTCGGCCGGGCCGCAGGCGCTGGGGCTGCTGGCGTTGTACGGCGGGGAAAGTGCCGCGCGGCGCCGCCCGCCTCCCCCACCCCACCCCATCCCGCGTGCGTGTTGTTGTGAAGTTGTGGACGGCGTGCTAACAGGCGGCGGGGCCGCGAAGCTGGGGGAGCCGCCGCTGCTGAGCCCCTCTCGAGCCTCGGGGACTCGACCGTCCGCGGAGGCGAGGATGGCGGGGTGCTCCAGCAGCTTCGGGTGCTCTCGGTCGTGGTGCTTCTCAGCTCCCCCACCGTGCCCTCCAGGGCGAGGTTGTAGAGCTGGGGGACGATGGTACCCCCTGCTTCACGCAGATGCGAGGGAGAACCAACGAGAGCAGCCCGTTCACCCGCACGCTGACGGGACGACGGCTCGCGGGCCGGGGGCGCTGACCCCCGGGCCCGGGCGTCGCCGCAGGTGCTGCCGGGGGGCGGGCCCCGCTATGAGGGAATGTCCCGGGGGGCGCGGAGGTCGGGCCCCGAGCTGGCGCCCCCGAGCCCTCGCCCCTCGCCCTCCGCCCGGCACGCGCACCCCTGGCAGCCTGCCACGCGCCGCGCCGCGCCCCCGGCCACCTCACCTACATAACACGCATCCACCTGGCCCGCACCGCCGCCCGGCCCTCTTCCTGCCTCGGCCAGGCCAGACTGCTCCCGGTCACCAAACGGCTAATCACAAGTGACCCCCTGGCTGGTAATGGCTTTATGAAAATGAGCCGATAGTAGGGCCGTGCCGGGCTGGTCTGTCGCCCGGCTGACTAGCCCGTCCCCGTGACCCAGCTCGGCCGCGAGGAGCACGACGCTGACGACCAGCAATTGCCTCATCACGCTGTCTCGCCTTCCATCGCCTCGCGCCCAGCAGCGGTCCCTAAGCGGTCCTCGTGACGGTTCCGGCCCCGCGGGCCCCGCGAGCGCGAGGGTCACGTGGGTACGCTGCTGTCGCCTGTGCTGTCCGTCAACCTGAGCCCCTCGAGGACCACTCGTCCTTTCTCTCGCCCCGATAACCACCGTGATGTGACATTCGGCGTGTGCCGGAGGGATGCGACACCCCCTTGGCAACCCGGGTGTTGTTGGTCTTAATCACCAACCTTATCGCTTGGGCAATTCGTTACTACACGGCTCCTATGTACGCCCCCGGCCCCCGCCGCGCGGCACAGCGCGACTGGCCTTGGGGAGGCGTGTGGTGTGGTATGGTGTCGGTGGGCGGGGCGGGGCGGCTGGCCATCCCGAAATCTCCTTCGCGTTGCTATCTCGACAGCACTACTCGTGCCGTCCGGCGCGAGGGCGAGGCGTCCACCAAAGGGATCTCTCTCGAGGCGCGTTGCTGACTCGACTCGACACCCTCTGCTCGTCGACTGACTCCTTCCTTGCCCAGCGCAGCTGAACTGTGGCGGAGTCTGATATGGCAACGCGTTTGCTGAGTCAGCAAACGAACACACGGGATGCAGGAAGACGTCCGTCGACGGGTGCCGTCTGCGCGCCTCCTGCAGGAAACGGAGCCAGCCCCGGCGGCGGTGCTCGCGAAGTATGATGTCCTCCTGTCGACGGCCGGTCGCACCCGGGCCGGGCACCCACCACCAACACCGATGTAAAACACTGCGGAGGGGTTGGGCTGCTTTGCAGGCCAACGAGGGAATTTCTTTGTAATTGCGGAGGACTTTCTCGTCCGAAATTAAAACGCAGCCACAATCGGTCGCAAGGTTGTTACCGTGCACCCCTGCTCCCCCTCCCCCGCACGCGGTCCGCCGCCTATTGCGGGGCGGGGATGGATTGAGGTTTTGCGGCCCGTTGGGCAGCGGCCTCGGCGGCGGCGGCCTCGCCAAGGGCGCGATCCTATACCTGGCCTATGGGCTGCGTTTTGGGGCGAATTGACTTTTCATGAGGGCCGCCGCGCGAGGACGCGCCCCCCTCGAGTGGTTCGCCACACTCCGGGGCCGGCCCCCCGCCCGCTGGCGCGACAAACAGCGATGAGCTGTTTGATCCCCAGATACACTCTCGTTATTAACGCTTGTCGAGTGGGTTGCCGCTAGCTGATACACATCTGGGATATCGGCGGCGACCTGCTAAGAAGCCGCCTGCCCGTGCTAGCTGTAGAGCGGTGATATCAAAATCCCAGCGCGGAAAGAGGGGAGGGGGAGGTGGGACAGACAGCAGAAAGGGAATGCCCTCGCGCTGCGTGCATCGTAGTATGAAAGCGGCAAGCATGTGGTCGAGGCATAGCCCTCGGCTGGCGCGATTTGAACCTTCGCCAGTTAGTCGTCTGCGCTCTCACGTCCCCTCCCCTCCCCTACCCCACCCCCGCCGCGACCCGCAACTATGTTTGATCCCAAAATAAAGGTGGCGCGTGTGTACTACATAGCGCGGCGGTGGCGGCGGGAGCAGCAGCAGCGGGACTTTATCTATGATGTGATGTGCGGGCTAATCTCGTGGTTGAGTGGCGCCTCGCCCCGCTCTGCCCCTGTCAGTCGGGCCCTCGGTACACTGCACCGGATGGACGAGTGGCTCGCGGCGCGGGAGGAAATGGAGCCGGCGGCGGCGCCATCCTGCTCAGCGCCATCCGCCCCGAGACCCTGCACACAACACCCTCGCGCGTGCGTCACTCGGCGCGCCACGGGGCATCTCCCTATGCTGCGCATGTGCTATATAGCAAATCATCAAATGATGTGTGAAGTGGGCCGGTTGCCCTGTCTCGGTCACCTAGTTTGCTTCTTCTCCTCCTGTACACTCCTGCGGCACTGCGGTGGAAACCCCTCAGGACGAGGCCTTTGAGACAGGCGGGGCCGCGACCACGAATCACACATTTCACTGACATTGACCCGGTGCCCCGGGTGGAGGCCCTCGCCCCCACTCACCTGCCCCTCAAACGAATGATTAAAATATTGACATGGCACCTTTCGTTTATTTCTGACGTGTTATTGATAATAGCTAGAGAAATGTTCATTCGTGGAATGGTTATTCAACCTGGCTTCTCATTTGTGTCTGCAGGTATCCGTTTCTCTGAGGAGGTGTCTCGTGATGAAGTCAAGGCCTTGTCTGCCTTGATGACCTTCAAGTGTGCCTGTGTGGACGTGCCATTCGGTGGAGCCAAGGCCGGAGTGAAAATTAATCCCAAGGACTACTCTGAACACGAATTGGAGAAGATCACTAGACGTTTCACCCTTGAACTGGCCAAGAAAGGTTTTATTGGTAAGAAACTTTCTTCCCAAACTTTCGGGGGGG